CGTGTGTGTGTGTAAACTGCCCCGCCCCCTCGCAAGCAGGCGGGGGAGAGATCGCTCGTCTGAATTCGGAAGATCGAAAATACATTATAGACGCATTTTGTAGTCATATTGCATATTAGAAACTGAGTTGGCAACACTAAGACTGCGATATAATGTTTATGTAGCAATAATACATAACATATGTTTTTAAATGTCTCCTGTACCGATACAAAAGAGCGATAACGTTGGAGCTTAACGGGGTGTAGAACACATGTGATGACGTCACCAACGAATCGACGACTGAATTAGTTGCCAACTAATTTGGTAATCGATTTTAATCGATTAAGTCGATTAGTTGTTGCACCCCTATTGCACATCTTCCGTTGCAGACTGAAAACTCATCTCTTTCGACTCCACTTCGAGCGATAGAATTATTAACAAAGAACTTATATACTAATAAAAGGACTGGCTTATCTAAAGCCAGTTGAGTAGCACTTGAAATGTTTTAGCTCTATGAAACCTGATGTACTTATATGATTCTGTTTTCTTCAAGATTGTATCTTCTTGGTCGAATGCACTTACTGTAAGTCGCTTTGGATAAAAGCATCAGCTAAATGTAATGTAATGTAACTAAGCTACGAAGTGTAATAATATGGAGATGTTATGGGGGGTATATATATATATATGAATCATAAATGAATAGTCAACATATTTTTTGAGAAACTGAATTTGATGAGGGTCTTAAGAGGTCATTTTATTTGAAAAACTCCTATGTCTCTGAATCTTTTTATCGACTTTATCATATTTTGACATTTCTTTCTGAATCACAATATAATATAATGCCTACCATTAGCTTTTTTCTGATGTGGCAGCCTGTCACTATAACACGATTTGTACAGAAGCCAATTCTCCTGATATTTATTTAATTGTATTGCTCTTACCAAGTCTGTATTGTCATCCATCACGACTGATGGTAAAGGCAGTAGACACCTAAACAGTCTTCCTAGAGATTTGGCTGTCATGATTGTGTTCACACATTTGTCAAACTTGCAGCCGAATCAGCAGAATATTATGAACACACCCACATCAGGAACACCACACCCAGGCCAACAGTATAGCATGTGGGACTCCCAGTGCCAATATGTTTATATCAGTGCCTGTGAGACCCTGCTCTGGGTCGGTATGGGTCATGTGCTCTCTATATCCACTTTTATATCCAAGGACACTCTTTTGTAAAAATGCAATATCGAACTCAACTGCAATATTCAAGCGGCCCTTTTATGCTAAATTTCAGGTTCATATTTGTGCCTGTGACATGTTTGCATGCTTTAATGTTTAAAAAGAGCTTTACTTTTTCTCAATGTCTGTGCTGCAGAACCTCTTTTCACCCTGTCTGAAACCAGAGCTGGCCAGATCGTTTGCGATTGGTCAATCGCATAGAGATGTCCCGCCCCTTAACCTATCACGTACAATTTGTTGGAGCAATAGAAGTGCAAGTGTTACATGGTGATATCACTATATTACAGACGTTAATAAAGGAGTCCAATGGAGGCGTTTCAGGCGGGGGGGGGAGGGGGGAGGGAGACTACCTCAGGAGTGAACTTTGAGATTTCAGCCTTTCTAGACCATTTACATGCACAAAAACCTATATAACAAACTACAGGTAAGGGAAAACCCACAACAGCATAAAAGGGCCCTTTAACATAACACCGATTTTAATTTAGGCTTTATAATGGTCAATAGAAGCGTATTCTGTACCTTGTTGTAGTAGCCATAGGTGATTGCGTTGGGGTGGACTCCGGCCTTCTTCATCTCAAAGAGGACCCTGACTGCCAGGACAGGTTGGCCGTACTGTCCACACAGCTGCATCAGCACCCGGTAACAGACCTGAAAGATTGTTTAGACAGGGAGAAATAAACCTCAACAAATACACCCTCAACAAAATTGTTGATTTAAAATGAGTGCAAAGACTGTTGTAACTGTCAGAAATAGTACAAATCTGGTGGCACCTCATCAGGTGGCTGCAGTTTCTTAGCCTGCATCTTCCTGAGGACGTCGTAGGCCGTGCGCAGCGCCCGAACCTTGGAGTGGCACACCTTGACGTACGCTGGCAGGCAGATGAACCACAGGCCGTAGCAGTGACGGAGCAGGCACTTGGACCACAGCTGAGGGATGGACGAGTACTTTTTGGCTATCTTCTGGGCTGTTTTGATCTCCTGTGGATGAAGAGGAGGGTGAGGGAAATAATATATTGTACAGATCTGGCTCATGGATATGTGTTAAAGACAATGTTTATCCAAAATGTAATGTATTTCTAAATCTTCGACAAGTATCTAGAGAATAATATGAATTTTCTTACCACTACTTCCTAAGCTTGTTGTTTTATTTTCTAGTGTAGACTGACTAACTCTTTAAGCTGTGAAATTAAGCACTTATATTTTATTAATACTAAATCGCCACTCTATGTATTCTATTATACTTTTATATATTTTCTTCATACAGTGTTCACAAATGTTATGTAACTTCTTATATCATATACTTTTGTACATGTTTTATTGAACATTTTACTTTAACTTCTTATGTTTATTTAAATACCTTTAGTTTCTTTATTTATTTCATTCTAAAATGGATCAACTATCATGAAACCTAAATATCCTTGGGATAAATAAAGATTTTTGGTTCTGATCAAGGTACTTGTCTATTTATGCTTGATTCTCAAATGTCAGGTAACCCTGCGGAAGATCACGAGCTCAGAACCTAAATCAATAAATCATTGAGATAGTGAGTTACTGCGGCGCTGACCTGCTTGGTGCGTCTGAACATGGGGGCAGGGCTAGTGGGACAGCTTTGCTTGGCAGTGAGGCGGGAGGAGGGGGTCCGCAGGCCCTCCACAGGGTCAAACAGGTCAAGAGTTAACACTGGGAAGCCATCGTACCTGATGGAGAACATACATTCACACATTAATGACAGCAGGCACAGATTTGTCTAAGAGAATAAAAACTATGTCTAACCCATTTGTCTAACAACAAAAGATTCCTTTCGGGGTTATAGTGATCATAAAAACAGTGTGCTTGTAATTATCTTCAAAGAGATCTTATTATATATTCTGGAAAGCTGTTGGTCATTAGGGATTATTAGGGGAGCTTAACTTAAGTGGTTCTGAATACTCTTTGGAATAAATTATTTAGTGCAAAATGAATGCAGAACACAAATAGCATATATACAGAGCCACACAGTCCAGCAGCAGCGATCTGATTTTGGTCGCAGCGAGGGAGCTGGACTCCTGCTGGTATTTAATCAGAGACCATCAAAGCAAAGTATTATTGCGTTTTGTTTTTCTCCTGCTGTATTCAGTTGGTTTTATGCAAGGAGATGAAACTTAGGTGTCATACAGTATTCGTATTCATATTCTGTACAAACTGTAACATCCACTGAGCCAAATGTGTGATATTGGGCTATATAAATAAACTTTGATTGATTGATGGAAACTAAAATCAGCACGTTTACAACTTGTCTAATAAATAAAATGAGCCTGATGAATAATTAAATCACAGGCTTTGCACATGATTCATGTGACAGGTCGATCTAAAAATAATAATCATAAAAATAATCATTTTGGTTTTTCATCTGTTAAAGCTTAGTTGCATTGACCAGGTCAACAAAGAAAAAATCCGAAACATAAAAAAACTAAAGAAAAACCGGAAGACGAAAACATTTTACATAAATAAAAATAACATTTTACACAATAACAGTTTAGAAATATTCACTGAATTTGACTTGAGTATATAAGAGTATCAGCATTAAATCATACTTAACGTACAAAACATTATATTAGGTAGAAATGCACATTTTAGTAGAATATATATATCATGTTACTTATAATAAGTGATGCATTATAAAATGAAGCACAACATGAGGAATACTCGAGTACAGAACCTAAAAATCTTACTTAAGTACTTGAGTAAATGTACTTCAGCCACTGAGAAATGTTATATGTATCCCCTGTAAGAGTTGAAGTGTGTGCTAATGGTAGAGTTCTCACCTGTAGCAGAGTGGATGTTCCTCCCCCTCAGGCAGGGGGGGCAGCTCTGGAGGCGTGATGAAGACTGTGTGCTCGCTGCGCTGAGACTCATCAATCTCTATCAGCCGGCTCTCCTCCGGCCTGTCAGCGTCCACCTGCAGAGCAGAGCGCAAAAACATGAAAAGGCGTCTGAGCGCTGGCACCGGGACCCTTCATCAACAGAGCTGAGGCAAACACAGAGCTTAACATTATGCCCTGTAATAAATATTTCAGTGTCTGCATGGAGGGTATGTGGCCAAACACAGACTGATTCACCTTTCTGAAAATACTTCTTTTCTTTACTGACACATAATTTTAGAACAGCTTTGTATCCGTCACCCTGATAGCAGGATTTCGACAGACTGAGTGACTGGGAGAGCTGAGGGAGCATGACAGCAGGTGACCTAGTTGATGCTTCCCTTTTTCTTCCTATACTCTAGTTTATAAACTCACTCTGCAGCCCACACATACACACAACAACGACACTAGCCCCTATTTCCTCCACTTTTCTCTTACAGTGCAATAGTATTGCAAATCATATACAATTAATTATGTTACACTTTAACAGATGTCCATATTATCCAGCACTGTCAAATTTAAATCAGAAGGTAGCATGTACTGCAGAAAACACATACTGCACTGTAGGTATTTAAAGCAACATTACCCATCAAATGTTTATTGCAGCAGACTTTGCCACTATTGCTACTCCTTGTTTGAGAAAATGTCACTGGTTGTGAAGAGAAACACTCCAAAAGTGTCTTTCTAGTATAGCAGACAATACTATAAAGAGGCCTATTTTTGTGCCTCTACTTTGACATGTTTCCATGCCTTAATGTTCAAAAAGGTATTTATTTTTATCATACTGCCTGTATGAGTCTCTTTTCACAACTCTGCCTGAAACCAGCGCCCTACAATGTGTGGGAGCGCTACCCAATAGAAGCGCGAGTGTTGTACATAGTGATGTCACTATGTTGAGAAAGAAAACAAAGGACTCCAATGGAGGTGTTTCAAGGGGGGGAGTGTGTGGGATAGAAACTCCCTCTGGAGGAAACAAAAAGCACAATAGGGCCCCTTGATACAACAAACAATACATTGAGGGTCCCATCATTTTGGCAACGGAATCAGTAAAACATCAGATATAAGTTATCTTAAAAGAGAATCATGGGGAGCCAAACTATAAATTAAAATAAGCCATTATCAATAGATCGTTGTGTGGATTTTTACGTGTGAGGGAATTACAGGGTTTGATTGATTTAAAGTAAAGGGAGAGCAGACATGTCAGAAGCTGTGAGAATCTAAACATCACAAGGAGGATTTATACGGTGGGATCAATAGGTCACTTGTCCAGTCACTGTGTGTCAGCTCCATACATTTCAATCTGCACCTCGAGGGAGCTGTGCCAGTGTGTGAGCAGCACGTTTGTTCTGCTGCTGATATCTGCTTTTGTACAGAGAAGCAAAAAAAAGACTCATGACAGTAAGATGTCCTGTGGATCTATATATTATTATTACTTTTATACAGCAACTACAACAGATCAGTTACTGTAATCCAGCTCTGAATGACCAACTGATCAATATACAGTAGTGGAGAGTGACTAAGTATATTTAAATAAATATTGTACAATTGTGAGGTACTTTAATAAAGTATTTCCACTTCTGATTATGTATAACTTTATGTCACTGCAACACAGCGGCAAATATATTTTATTTATTTTTGTTTTTTAATCCTTTATTACCTTTAGTTACTTTGCAGATTTATATTAATATTACAAAACACAATCCACAAGTACATTCTGATGATTGATAACACTATATTGAGCCCTTGGTGAAATTCATAAACTAAATCGTAGAATATTGGAATTTAAAAAAGCCCTACGTTTACCAGCTTCAACAATAAAGAAATAACGGTTGATAATTCATCAATAAATATGATACAATAAAGTGTAATAAA